AAAAAAAACACACACACACACACACACACACACTAAAGACTAGAGAATTCTAACCAAACAGAGTTTGCAACTTGAACAATAGTGTATTTTGAAAGCCAGTAATTTTAGAAAACCCAAAGATTTCTGGCTTTCCAAATCTACCAGAGCAAATAAACTGTTAGTTGTGTCCTGTGGTTATGGTAAGTACAAGCCTTCAGAGTGCAAAGTTTGGTCCACCACTGAGAGAAGTTAGATGTGTAGCCTGCCTGGTCTTCCTAGGCGATGGCTGTAAGCTTCTAAATTGTCTTGGATTTACTGCATTGGAAAAGGAGGTGCTCAAGGGATTCCTCTTTTTAGATGTGTAGTCTGCCTGGTCTTTAGATGTGTAGCCTGCCTGGTATTTAATTTTCCTTGAGAGGGCCAGTTGACAGGGAGAGAGTTTGAGAGGCATTTCTAGATGAAGTGTCTCAGTTTCACTGAAACTTTAAGTGACCATAGCTTCCTTCTGGCCTTTTGAATTCCATCCCATTGTGCTACTCTTAGGGATATCCAGTTTTTTCCACTTGTCTTGCACTAAGAAGCAGTACACCTTAGCCACTGTGAGGGTTCTTGATTTGATGTGCCTTCATGTGAGTTTGTCCTTGCTGTGAGGGTCAAGGCCTTTTATGCTGAGCATAGCAATGCATTCTTCATGAGAAAAGTAATTCTTCATCATATCCACATTCCAGTTCATGCCTGTCTCATCAAAAAGTTCTTGCACCCATGTGATGCTATCTCTCAGAGGCTTGGAGGGATTTGGTTTGAGTTTTGGTATGTTGGGGAGCCAGGGGTGATCCCAAATGTTGACTTCAATTCGTAATTTACTTTGAAAATGACAATTTGAGAGAAGAAGTCCAAAGTTCCCCCCAGATATGATCCATTTTGGTTTTTTTGAGTTGACGTGAGGGATGTCTTGGGGAAATATCTTGCTTTGAGTACTCTGGCTACCAAGAGGTTAGGGCTATTGCTCAATCTCCACAGTTGCTTTGTGATCAGAGCCTTGTTCATAAGTTGAATGTCATGGAATCCTAGGCCACCTTTATCTCTTGGGAGAGGGAGGAGATTCCAGGATTTCCAGTGAATGCCTCATGAGCCTTCTTTTTTTATTTCCACCAGAAGTCGGCAAAAAGTTTGGCTATGTTAGCACATACCATTTTAGGAAGGATGAAACAGGACATTGCATACAGTGGGACTGCTTCCAGAACAACTTTGATGAGTGTTTCTTTACCCTGCACAAGGCAAAAAAATGTTCTTCCAATTTAATAGCTTCTTCCTAATAGAATCCTCAATATAAGAGAAGGTATCAAGTTTGGATTTGGCAATACCTAGGGGCAGGCCTAGATATCTTGATGAGTCTTGAGGTTTGATGCCCATAAGGGTCTGACAGATATGATTTTTAATGTGCTGGGGGGTGTTTTTACTGAAAAAATTGAGGTTTTTTTTGAGGTTCACACACTGGCCAGTGACTTCATTGTGAGGGTTAAGAATTTGGAGAATGAGTTAGCTTATTCATTATCAGCTTTGAAAAATAGGAGGGTGTCATCTGCAAACATGAGGTGAGTTGAGGGTTGGGCTATTTCTGCAAATTTTGATGCCCTTAAAATGCCTTGTGGAGGAAAAATTGTTAATGATGTGGGACAAAATTTTAGAGACCAAAATGAAGATGTAAGGAGATAGAGGATCTCCTTGACGAATTCCCCTAGTAGGTGTCATATATTTACACATAAATCCATTCAGATTGAAAGAAAAAGAGGTTGAGTTCAGACAAGACAAAATCCACTTTACAAATGAAGTATGAAATCCTAAGTTAATCATGATGTTTCTGACACTAGTCCATTCTACTCTGTCAAAAGCTTTTGACATGTCTAGTTTAATAGCCATATAACAAGAGTGTCCTGATCTGTGTCTGTTAAGGAAATGCAATAACTCATGAGCAAGAATGACATTGTTTAAAATTTTCCTATTGAAGATGAAAGCATATTTTGGGTCACTAATACAAGAGGCCATATATGGTTTTAATCTATTTGAAAATATTTTAGAAATGACCTTGTAGGTAACTGAAAAGAGGCTAATAGGCATGAATTGGGTGATTTTTTTCAGGTTTATGCACTTTAGGGATGAGAGTGATTAGGGTGTGGTTTATACTCTTAAGCATTTTCCCTGATTGAAAGAAGCTAGCCAGTAATGTACACATATCAGATTCGATAAAAGACTAAAAATGTTGAAAGAATTTAGATGTCATACCATCTTGACCAGGAGCTTTGTGAGAATAGATGAAAAAGAGAACAACTCTTATTTCTTCCTCTTCAACAACAGCTGTAAGGTGAGTGTTCATGGTCTTAGAGATCACATCGGTCACATTCTGAAGAACAGTGTCATCCAGAGAATGGCCTTGAGATGAGAAAATGTCAGTGTAGAATTCCTCTATGCATTGGGCAATGTCATCAGTGGTTTCACAGATTGTGGAGTCCTCCTTGAGAAGCTTGAAACTATATTGATTTTCCTTCTGTTGGTTGTGTGAGCATGGAAGGACCTTGTGTTCTTGTCTCCCAGTTGGAGCCAAGAAATTCTTGATTTTGGGTAGCTCTTTTTGGATAGCATCCCATTTGGTCCAATCCTTCAGACCTCCATCCCATCTTAATTCTGTCAGTTGTCTGTGGAGTTGTTCTATCTTTTTGATATTATCAGATCTGAATTCACAGCTCCATTTGAGAAGACTCAGTTTGAATCCTTTGACTTTTCTTTGAAACAAAACATTGGGAGTGCCTGATTGATAGCAATTACAAGCTTTGGTGACCACTTCTTCAACACATTCTTTCTGTAGCCATCTATGGTCAAAGAAGAATCTTCTTTTGATTGGTTTGGTGTCAGGACAAGAGTTGAGGACAATCTAACTCTAATACAAAAAAAAAAAAAAAGTTTTATGTTATTTTTTTTTGAAAAAAAAAAATACAAATTTGTGATAAATATTGAAGCAACTGAAATTGTATTCGCTCTTTTCCCTTTACTCTCTGCCCTAAATCACCCAACCCTAGTCATCTGATTTGCACTTCTCTTGCCTTCCCGGGCGAATAGCCGGCGTTCTTGCCGACGGATGTCTCTTTGCCGCACTCCTCTCCCCCGATTTAGTGCTATCCCCTCTCGTCTCGCTCCGTCGAAGGCTAGATGATGTTCCCTCTGGTTGTCGGTCATGATGAGGTTTTCCGGCCTCTCCGGTGGTGTGGGTGTTTGGACGATGGTGTGTGATTGGGGTGGGGAGTGGCCGTGGCTGCTTGCCGTCGTTGGTGGTGAGTCGGCCTGGGTGGAAGAGCGTGACCCGACTTCCCTATTTTATCGATAGACCGACACCTACGGGCCTGGTCCAGTGGTGTTGGTAGGGTCCGGGGTTGTGGTGTGTGGGGTGGTGTCAGGCTATGCTTTTGTAAGGCTGTGGGTCGACCTCTTTCTCGTGGTGGTGCGGGGCTTGTGATTCGGCTTCAGCTAGTCTTATTGGCAGTTCCGGGAGTGGGGTCCTGGCCTACAAATCTTGTTGTTGGATGGTTGGCCTTTGTTCTGCTGGTGCCTTGTGCAAGGCTCGGTTTATTCTGTCGGAGAAGGGTTTTGTCTATCTTTGTGTTTTGGTTGTTTCGTTTTTTATTTATTTTTTTATTTTTTGTTTTGTTGTGTTAGTGTTTTGTGTGTCTGCTCCCAGTTTCGTGTTTTTTTTTTCTTTGTTGTTTGTTGGGTCTATTCTCCATTTGGGAGCTTAATTCTCCTGTTGGGAGCTGAATTTTTCTGTTGGGAGCTTGTGAGTGTGTCGTGCGTTTCGATTAGGGTGCCTTTAGGGTTGTCTTCCCTAGGATTACTACTGTGTTGCAGCTTATTCCGGCTGTAATCGATTATCATCTGTGTGTAAATATGTGTTCTACTTATGAAATCATGCCGTTGAAAAAAAAATTGAAGTAAGATTCTTTTTCCAATATCATCAAATTTGGATTTATTTAAAAATGTTATTTCTCATACTTTAGCAATTATTTAAGATTTGTTAACATGCTATTTACATAACTACTAGTCCATTAACAAAATGGTATAAAATTAGTTGATTGAATCTCCTTTATAAATTTGACACGTCAAATATACTAATTGATTTGTTTGATAAAGAACTTATTTTAGTTTAAACTGCTAATTAAAAAAAAAAAATCTCTATATAGAAGTATTTCGATAATAGATGATTTGTAAAATAATGTATCAGCACACAATTTTCAAAACAATATCGTTTATTGATGAAATTATTATTTACAAACAATTATTATAATCTGTTAGTCGAATCAGCTATTACGATTCTCAAATGTTCAACAATAACATTATTTGTATATAATATAATAATACTATACTATATAAATAATACTATACTATACATGGTTTAGTGATATACCTTGCTCTTTTGGACTGGTCTACCAACACCGGGCGGTAGGCAATCATCTGATCAGTGGCAAAAGTACCGCAACGTCCCTGTCACTGACTTCGTCAACTTAAATTAAACAAAGTACTCTCTTAAACACGAAATTGACTTGACTGAGATTTTGACCTTTTCTTATCCTTACATTTTTTTTTTTGGTACATGATCTTTGACTTTTCGGAACCATAGAAAAACCGACTAATTCGAAATTGAGCCGTAGGACTAGAAGGGTAGCAAAATTCTCCCTTACTTCTTATCCTTACTTTATTTTTTCTTCAATGAACTACCAATAATTAATCAAAATTCATATCATTGATATAATATCCTCCTTCTTCATCTTCTTCATCTTCTTCGTCACAAAATCCCCCACCATGCATAAAAACCAGTAACCACAAAACCCCCAACCATGTCCGTTACAAAGAACCCCCTTTTCATCACTAAAACCCTATTTCTCCTCATTTCAATAGCAGCCAGCTTCACATTTGCCCAGAACACTATCAGTCCCAATTCGTCCTCCTGCCCTTCACAATCCTGCGGCGGCGTCAGGGAGATCAGATTCCCCTTCCGATTGAACGGCGTCTCAAGATCCTGCGGCTACAGCGACTCCATCTTCCAGCTGGACTGCCTCCACAATCAGGCATTCCTCAACGTCCGATCCAAAAGGTACCTCGTCCGGGATATCAATTACGACGAGTTCTCCATCAGGTTGGTTGATCCCGGCGTGGTCGGCTCTAATTTGTCGGCCTGCCCGCTCTACGACACCGATTACGATGACTGGCCCGGGAGCATGAACGACAATTTCTTCGATTGGAATGTGCCCGTCGTGTTTATTTACTGTTTAGCCCCCGTGAACGGCTCAAATTACTTGGAGGCCTCATTCTGCGGCAATAGGAGCAGTATATTCTCGAATTCCTCGGGACTTTACAGTTACGTTGTGGCAGGGGAAAGGATTTTGGTTTCGGATTTGGAGGATTCCTGCAGTGTGGCCCGGGTGGCTCAGGCGTCGTCCCGTGGACCTGCGGTGGATTACGGGTCATTGGGTGGTATTTACGGCGGGCTCGGCTATGGGTTTGAGCTGTCGTGGTTCCGAGTGCTGTGTGGGGAGTGTGAGAGGACATTGGGGTCCTGCAGTTTGGAGGGGAACAGGATTAGATGCAGGCATTATTGCAGGGAGGATACGCCAATTGGGGACCTCCGTTTTGGATGTAAGTGTCCTTTTTTTTTTCTTTTGTCCGACTTTTCGGGTTGGAGGATTATCATCATGGTTGTTAAAATGCATGGTTTGATTGTGTTCATTCATGGCATAGTGTTTGTTGCAATTGGATTGGGAAGGATGAGCAGAAATCCTGTGGGATTAAAAATTAAAACACTGGTAAATTAAAAAGAAAATCAAGATGAAAAGAGAGGTGGAGAGAGAGGAAGAAGAATTACTTCTCTGGAATTACAAATAACAATCATAAGAGTTCTGTGTATATGTTAAGCATGTATGAAGAAGAAAGGGTGCTTTTAACAGCTAAAGTTGGAGTATTTTGTAATTAGGCTAGTTTTCAGGATAATTTGGTGAATTAATCCCTTAGCATCGGAAGGACGGGTGTTATGATATACTAACAAAATTTACATAGAATTTGAAGCATTTATCATCATTAAGCTTCATTGATAGATTTCTATGGTTTCTTTTGCTAATGGTGCTCTTGTTTTGCTAATGCAGGTCAACTTGAATATTACGGAAGTGAGTGCTAATGTCCTCAAAAGTTACTCAGATATTTGTCGAATCTTTTAGTATATTTCCAGTATCGTCTGACTTCCTTTTTTTTTTTCCTTTTTCCTTTTGTTTTTGACAGTGTTTGTTGGATTCTATAGCGCGTTTGCAATTGGTAAGATTTAGAACCTCTGTTTACTTGATGGCTATTAAGTCCCTGAATAATGTAGGTTGAAATGCTGGATTGTGTTTTTTCCATTACTCCTTTTCTCATAAATAGAAAATAACTGTGATGACTCCATTGAGATTTGACTTGGCAACATAAAACACCATCTATCTTACTTAATTTGCAAATACCCTAAATATGAATTCAGACAAATGCTTTATAAAGCTGTTAGCTGATCCATCAGCATCTGCAACAACTAAGTCGGGAGCAAAATTATAAAGAACTGCGTGAGATCTAATCTCCCATTGACAGCAATGAGGTCAAATCACGGTGGAATACCTTTATTAAATCGGAGCAATCCAAACAGCTCTTAGTTTGAGCTAGAAATTGCTTTGAACATTGCCCCTCTAGTTTCTATTTTATTAGTGCCAGGCTATTTGATTGTAGCAGTAAATTTTATTTATACATTTGTCATTTGCTTAGTAACTATCCTCATAGAGGATGTGATTGGTAAAAAATCTTCTTTCACATTGTACTCAAAACATTTTCTTCTGGAATGTCTTACAACTTAATACACCCATTGTATCACAGGATTGACGATTTTTTTTTTTTTTTTTTCCTTGATGATTTATTTAGCTGGTGTGGTAGCTCTGAGGCTCCTCATTGGACTCCCTATCTTGATCGCGATTGTTGTGTATAAATGGCGAAGGCGGCATCTAGCCATGGACGAAACAATCGAGGAGTTCTTGCAGGGCCAAAACGGTCTCACACCCATAAGGTATTCTTATTCGGAGATAAAGAAAATGACAAACAACTTTGGGCAGAGGCTCGGAGAGGGTGCGTTTGGCACTGTGTACAAGGGCAAGCTCCGGAGTGGGCCCTTTGTGGCCGTTAAGATGATGGCCCAATCGACAGCCAGCGAGCAAGACTTCATAAACGAGGTGGGCACCATAGGGCGCATCCACCATGTCAATGTGGTCCAACTCATCGGGTTCTGCGTGGAGGGATCGAGATGTGCGTTGGTGTACGAGTACCTGCCAAACGGGTCCTTGGACCGGTACATTTTTAACCAGCAAGGACTTGAGGCGTTTGCATTGAGGTAATATAGGGATGGTTGAATTTAAACTTTCATTTCGTATCATATGCCTACTCATTTTGAATCATCTTCGGTGTAGGTACTCGAAGATGCACGAGATTGCCCTTGGGGTGGCCCGTGGGATCGACTATCTCCACGGGGGGTGCGACATGCAGATCCTCCACTTTGACATAAAGCCCCACAACATTCTTCTGGACGAGAAATTCAACCCGAAGATATCTGACTTTGGGCTGGCGAAGCTCTACCCGACTAACGGGTCGGGTGTGAACCTGACGGGCGCCCGGGGCACAGTGGGTTACATGGCCCCTGAGATGTTCTACAAGAACGTGGGGGCCGTCTCATACAAGGCGGATGTGTACAGCTTTGGGATGCTCCTGCTTGAGCTGGCGGGACGCCGGAAGAACATGAACCCGGTTGTGGATGATCTCTCACAGATGTACTTCCCGTCATGGGTGTATGAACAGATTCACGCGGGGAAGGAGATTGAGATAAGGGACGCGACCGACGAGGAGAAGAAGTTGGTGAGGAGGATCATTGTGGTGGCTCTATGGTGCATACAGATGAAGCCTTCTGACCGACCGCCGATGAATAAGGTGGTCGAGATGCTGGAGGGAGATCGACAAGTGGGCATGCCGCCAAAGCCTTTCGTGGCCCCGAGGGAGATTACGGAGGAGGATAGATAACGGGTTGGGTTGGGTGGGGCTACTGCTTTATTTTATGCACTTGTGTAAATGTTTCGGTACGTTTTCGTATGTTGCTTGTGTCGGAATGCCTTGCCTGCCTCCTGGAGATGTATGTATTATGTAATGTAAAATAGAACTTTTGTTTATTCTATATCTTCTATTATTTATCTCTATACTATTATAGAAAGGAAGGATGAATAGGTGGGTAAAAAAATGAACTATCTGAAATCTCTTATTTTGACAAAATTTTACTGATAAATTAGTAATACAGTGATATTCATTCTATCATAAACTACTTAAAAAACTCTTTATTTAACATATCTTTAATGATAAATTAATAATAGAGTAATATTCGTTCTATCATGAACTACCTAAAAAATTCTTAATTTAACATATTTTTAATGATAAATTAGTAAAGCACTAACACTCATCATGTTTTATATTTTTAATTAATAATTAATATTTAATTAATTAAATACAAATACACGAACAAACATTTCATATGTCCTAAAAGTCAACCACAATATTCTCGAACCATAATGCCTCACGATTTTTTTTCTTCCACACATCTCCCAAATTGTTTTCTTTCGTATTTTTCAAAAACCAATTCAAACAACAAAACTTTGAAAAGATATGGAATTATTGTAATGGAAAATGTTCTTACTTTTAATATAAATTTAACCATAAAAGCGTAATCACATTCCATAGTATAACATATAAAACTTCTTTAAAGAAAACTAATCAAACTAAAACAGCATAATAAATATTTATAAGGAAATTAAATATTTTCAACTATTTATTTACCTATCTACAATTTTAACAAAATGATAAATCTTGGTAAAAATGACAACATAGTTGAGACGTAACTTGTATATAATAAATAATTTCAAAGATACATATTTAACTTTAATTAAGGGATAATACCTAAAATTTTATTGAAATTATGCACACTTAAAATATATACATAATCTAACAAACTAGGAAAGTAACAGAATTTCCAATTTTGCTCTTCTTGCCTAGCCGCTCCATCTTTTAGGGTGGTCCTCTCTTCCGACGGCCCAGTTTCTTGTTAACGAGCATCTGGCTCGACCGAGGCTTGATGGCACGACTATGACTATATGTGGTCTCTCTCTCCCCGATGTGGGTTTCTCACTTCCCGAGTGCCATGGCGGGCGAGCAACGATGCGAAGTGCCGGAGAATGTGTTCTGGCGAACGTCGTGGGCGTCCCTTGTGGAGGTCGGATGTGGCGGTCTAGCTTTGGTTCCCTCCTCCTCCAATCTTCCCTGGTGTTGGAAAGTTGCGGTCCTCCAGCGGCGCTTGCGTGGTTGCGAGGTGGCTCCGGTGTTTTTGTGGGTGGGGGAGAGGTAGGGGTGACCGGGTGAGCAAAACCGACCCGACCGAACCGAAACGAGCAATTCTGTGCGGTACGGTTCAGTTATATGTAAAAAAAAATTGGTTCCGTTTCGGTTTAATTTTCTCTTACATCTAATACTATAAAATACGGTTAATAAAAAATGTTTGAAAAACTCGAAAAAAATTCTTTGGTTTTCCTGCTTCTATTTCATTTTCGGCCAATTTTTTTGAAATATTTTTCCTATTCCCGCCTATGCCCGTCTATGATTTACATACATTCATCTGATATGATAGCGATTTGGTAGAGATTTGTTTTTTTTTTTTTTTTTCCAAAACGATAGAGGTAATATATAAGAGCACAAACGTGCAAAAGGAACAAATTACAAGACCCCAACAGGGTAATCTAAGGCCCCAACAGGGTAATGAGACAGGGGCCAACAGCCCAAACCAAAAACACTCCTAAAAACAACCAGAATAGAAACTGAGAGGACACGCACATGGCGGCCTAAATAACTCAACAAACGACAACAAAGGCAAATGATAAACAGAGCCACTGCACACTGCCTAGCCTGTAATCATTTCCAAGACTAAACCACACAGAAACAGAAAGCGCAAACTACCAAAAGGGAAGGAACTAAACAAACTAAACACAAAAACTAACAAAACTAAAGCAATCCTCCCCCGGATAACCGATGAACCGAACCAACAGCTACATCCGACTCTCGACCAGGCCCCTAGCCAAGACCCACCCCCGAAACTGCACGAGGCCTATACAAGAGGCAGGCCCCCGCCCCCGAACCTGGTCAAAGAGCCTGAACCCTCAAACCAAGGGAGAACCAGCACGGCAACCCCAACCAGTACAACCAACGTCCTGCTAACACCACTAACCAAACTTGGGTGTACCGGATCCCAAACCTCCCCAATAGCAGAGAGAGCCAGGATAGTCGCCCCATGCCCGAACCCCAGCCCCGACAGCATCCATACACAACGCACAGAAGCCACCGGGGCCCCATCCCAACCACCGCCCAACGAAGCCCCCCGACTTCCCGGATACGACCCAACCTGCTTCCCTTGCCGGCGCCCAAAACCACAGACCACCAATCCGAGCCCAGCCACCCACCCCAGCCAACCACCATCCCCCGAATCATCCCAAGCAACCAGCTCCGACAATCCCAATCCAAACCACAAGCCCCAACCGGACCTGCATCCACCAACACGCCCAAAAAAGGGGAACCACCCGCCGGCCAAGGGAGAGAGCAAAAGGACACCCATCCAGGCCCCGCGTTCTCGCCAAAAACAGAGCCATTGAAACCAAAACCGGGCGATGCGAAAGCCCTTCCGACGACGCCGAACAAGGGGGAAGCAAGGAATCGAGCCACTACAGAGAAGCCCGGAGGGAATCGTCGACGGGGTTGGACGGGCGGCCAGAGACGGCCGCTAATCTGACCACTCACCGCCGGAGGAGACCCACGGAAGACGAGGATGACACCGCTGCTCAAGGGTTTACTGTAGAAAATCGCGAGGAAGAAGAGGGATAAGAGAATTGTTTATTGTCACGTTGGTAGCGATTTGTTAGGATTCTGCTTTTTATTTAGTATCATACTTTTATTTCCTTTTTTTTTGGTTCCTTTTTTTTTTTGGAAGGGATTTGGTAAAATGGGATAACAACAAATCCCATATTGGTTTTTTCATAATCCCGCATTGAATACGTTTTTGTTTCCTTTTATTACATATTCGTTATCTTTAGAAAAACTGAAAAAAATTTATTTTGTTCTGATTTTTTTTTTTTCTGGTTTTGTACAGAGCTGATGGTGAAATTTGGGGAATCGTGTGGATACTCCGGGAATCTGACGTGTAAGCTGTCGGGTGAGGATCTCGACGTGCTGGTCATGGTCAAGTCCGATGAGGAGCTCCGGAGCGTGGTGGAGGAGCACGAGCAGTCGTCGTCGCCGGAGGCGAAGATTAGGGCGGTGCTTTTTCTGGCCAGATCTGGGAAGAAAATCACCCCGTCGTCGTCTCCGATTTCGTACTTCGACTTCCCTTCCGCCGCGAAGGTGCGCGGCGCTGCTCCTCCCTCTGCCACCGTCTTCTACCGCGCGTACGTGCCTCCCACGGCAGTGAGGCGGTGCGCGTCTCCGGTCGTTGGGTATCCCATCGTCGCCGGGAAAAGCCGTTATTGTCAGGCCAGGGCTTACCACGTGCCGATTATGAATTATTCTCAATAGTAACGGGAAGGAAATTGGGGAGAAACACAAGAGAGGAGATGTTTCATTTTTTTTTTAACTGCTGAACTTGTGACCTTTTTGGTTTTTTCTTCCTACAAAATGTCACTTGGTTATACTGCTAATTTGCGGCTCAAACAATTATGGAGACTTTTTTTTCCGGCGCTGGGAAAACTGAGCTAAGTTTTGTTCAAATTTGCTCCTATTTGAGTATGCAATCTAACAAAATGATCAAATAATCGAGCTCCAACTGGGCTCAAGTACTCAACAACTGAGCTATTAGCAAGCTGAAAATTAGAAAATATCGAGCTCGAAATCTGAACTAGCCAAGAGCTGTTTGGTTAATTTGACAGAAAATTTAAGAAATTGTGTAACTAATTGGTTAACTGGTTTTATTTGGCTTCTTTTTAATGTCACGATTGGGAAGCCGTAGTCCGGCGAATGCCGCTGGCGTTGGTATCTGTTGACGGTGGCTGTGTGGCACGTGACGGCCAATGGGCTCTGTCGAACGACCGACGTGGCGTGGTTCCCACGTGAATATTTGATGAGGTTTCTCATTATTTGTTGGTGTTCTTTGTTTTATTCTGCAGGCTGTTGCACGTGGAGAGGCGGGTAGGATTCTTAGGCAGCGGTTTGGCGGTCGCCGGTCAGCTAAACAATATATTTATCACCATTTGGAAAAAGTTGAACATACCGTGTAACTGAAATATTATAGAGAATAAAAAATTTGTCCGAGAAAATATACAATAAATAATTCGAAATGGTTCGTTTTCCCGCTTTTTAAAAGTCATTTTTCCACTTTTGTATTTCGTTTTTTTATCATTTTTGGATTTATTTTTTTTTTTTTGCCTTTTTCCGCTCATATAATTTGTTTGAAACAATTCACCCATGTAATTTGCTTGAAATCCACCCATGCAATTTGTTTACATTAGATACCGAATATTGTTAACTAAGATGATAAGATTTTGGTAAAAAATTGGATATTGCTAATTGATACGTGGTATGGTAAACAATCGGATTATATTTTGGTAAAAAAGTGGATATTGTTAAATGTTAAAAGGATATTGTTATTTGTTCATTGTTTAACAAATTTTCAAGTGATATTCTATGATTTTTAGGGGCGCGGCAGAATTATCGAATTTGGAATATTATCTGCCAAATGATTTTAAAATTTTACATTACAATAAATTAAAAATAATACCATATACAACATTAAAATGAATTTGAGTTTAGATTATATACTAGATTTTTTTGTGATTTTTATGAATCTATACTATCCAAAACACTAAAATTTGTTAACATTAGATAACTACAAAATTCAAAAACTAAAGCAGATTAAGCAAAACTTAAAATGATTATTTGATAAGCCTAATCATTTTGGCTTAGAATGAAATCAAACGATTATCCAACTATATAAATAATAT